AGTGAAGGCCATGTGTGCCAGTGGGAACTCGCCTTTGCTGCGTGCCACTGCTCCAGTACTTTGCAATAATTGTGGGAACCACAAGTGGCAGGCAGTCCCTTAAATTATTTGGCATTACCCTTAAGTACCTGATCAGTCAGGGCAATTCAGAGTTTGAAGTCTAAGAGCTCTACACACCTGCAATTACTTAAATCCACAAAATTGCACCCAGAGGTATTTGCAGGCACAAAATTGTTGGCATAAAATTAGAGGCCATTTCCTAAAACCTGTGCCTAAATTTTGATGATATACTATATGAGGGATTGTTATTTTGAAATGGATTTGCAGAAAGCAATTGAAAATCTCCAGGCATCCCATCTGTGTTTAAAGTAACAACAATAACAAAACTTTAAATTAGCATAGGAGATTTAAGACATTTCAGGAAAACATTGATTAAATCTGCCAATGAAATGAATGTGTTTGGCGAGTGACCTAATTAGTGTATACTTGGTTCTTTTTCACTGCACTGCTTACCACTAATTGCTGTTCTGCTGGTCTTCTCCTGACAAGTAAGAAAAAACAAGGATGAGGGATTTGTTGAGGAAATAGTGACATTCAGTTTTAATTCATCTGAACCTGCTGCCAAGCTTAATTATGGAACTGAGAAACTGAGACCGGGAGGCCCCCAGCCGTTTAGGTTATAGGAGACGGAGATGTTTAATGTCTGCCAGTGTATTTGGGTAGCACTTATTGCAGCTAGCTGTAAAGTTGTGCTTGCTGATGCTTAGCTATTCTCTTCCCCCCACAGGTACAAAAACACTGGTTTTGTTCCGTAAATTTAATTATTTAGCTCTAATGGCGTCAGGCTGACACAAAATTACAGGCATTTTATTTCTTAACGGAAAGATTTAACAATTAATCTAGATAGTCTTATCATGGGTTTTCGTGTGTGTGTATTTGCATGTACAAACTACTAATATGTCATTCTACAAAAAAACCTCCGGATCTTGGAATACTTGTAGCATTGGAATGCCCAAGTCACGCTTGAGCTGAGGGGCTCAGGTTAGTGACATATTCAATTCCCATCTCTCGAACCAGCAGGCGATAATGCAGCTCTCCTTATTTGCATTTGGAGCTCCTAAAGGAAAAGGGCAGGATGCTTCATGAAAAAGGGGAAATAGTTTTGGTTTTGGTTTCCTGTGGTGGCGATGGATTCTTGCCAGCAGAGTCTGAAGGTTCCAGGTGTAGAATCCAAGTGCATTTTTCGTGATGTTCTGCACAAAAACTGGGAGGGGGAAGCATAATCCATTGACCAAAATGTTTACGAGGCAGAGCACACACAAAAAAAAGAAGGAAAAAACCAAAAAGAAGCTGTGGAATTTGAGGCTAGCAGAGGGTGGGGCTGGTGGGGCTTGCACTTGTTTTTTAAAAGAGGATAATAAAATGCAGACATTTTCTAAAAGCAGCAGCGTCCGATTGGCAGGCCCTGCATCTTAATACTTCCTGGGATATGCTTCCAGCCAGCTGCCTTTTCCCCGGAGGAGCCAGGGAATAGTTACTGGAGCAGGGATGGGTGCCTGAGCAGCCAAACCCGCCGGTGCTGCACCTGCCAGGGCTGGCCACGGCAGGCCGGACCGGCTCTGCCCGCGGGGCCAGAGGGGAGCACAGCTTGGGCAGGGGGGAAGGATTCTCAGCACAGGCGGTTTGGGGATTCATTTACGCTGTAGGGAGTGCTGGGGGTGAAGTTCTGAGAACCAGCTTTGGCTTCTGTGGGGACTAAAATTTGATCTACCCTGAAAAGTGTATAACGCAAACCAAAAAAAAAACCAAACCCTCCCAAACAAACAAACAAACAAAATCCTCCAAAATCCGAATGAAAAAAAAGCCAGCACTACTTTGTTAGTTCCCGAGACCCAAAAAATGAAGTGAGATTATAAACAAATGGAATATGTTAGTGTAGGTCAGCTACATAGGCTATAAACATCTACATGGAAGAACATAAACTGTACAAAGAGGCAGCGTGCCTGGTTTTCTGTTATACAGCATTGCAGGGTTCTTGTAAGGATACTTGAATGCTGAAACAGCCTGGGAACTTGGCTTCACTTGTGGCAGATTGATGTGCTTTGGACGAGTTTTCAGCCACGGAGTGATTTTGTCCTGATGTTCTGTGTGTGGTGGAGAGATGTGTTGGAAGGGGGAAGAGCTAGAAAAAGATATTTGGAAGGAAAATGAACTTGAGGGAAGGAGAAAGAGCAGGTTTGCAGCGAGGCTGTGAGTAGTAATACTAGAATGCATAATGGGCAGCTAAAGGTGCAAGGTTTTTTTGTCTCAAGACTTTCAGTGGATCTCCAATATGTTTATATAGCCCCTTGTGCCCATTGAATAACTGTTTACAAGAATATTCATGGGTTTAGATATTATGGACTGATGTTAATTTTCAGCAGTTCTCTGTGTTAGGCGTACCTGACCACTATAATGCAATATCAGAATATTCTTACTCATTACGGCTTATATTTACAGGCAATACTAAATTAGGTGTGAATACTTACTGTGCTGTCTGGAAAATTGTACTAAAACCAATTTTCCTTCTGCTACTACATATAGAAATCCTGCACTGTACACTGATGATAAATATAAAAATCTAACTCTATTATATCTTTTTAATGCCAATATTAAAACTTATTTTTGAGCTTTCACATCCTCTTTTCTGGACATGAACATGGGGAGAAATAAGAATATATGGAGTCTCCTGAGAATAGCACCTTGCTATCATAAAAAATAGTTTGCTCTGTGTTTGATCAAAGCCATTCCGTGACTTCCTGTGGCATTTCAGGTTTCCCACTTGGCAGCTCTGCCTTCTTTCCAGGATCTCTCATCCAGCAAGATGCAAGCTTCATCCACTTCTATCTCCTTCATTCCAGAAGCTCCTCTCCCAATGGGCAAAGCCTTGGAGAAATCCAGGGAGGATTGTAGCATGTTTTTTGGTTCAAAGTGGCATCAGCTTCACTGCTGCTCTGCAGTGAAGAAAGAGCTCGGATAACACTGCAGAGCAGAAAGGCGCTGTACAACAAGCTGATTCAAAAATGGCATGCTCAGTAGCAAGAGAGAAGAAAATGGGTGAATCTGAGCAGGTGAGACACCCCCACCTCCCCAAGTTGATCAAACTCCAGTGCACTTCTTCACCCAGTGTAGAACTGTTACAGGCTTTCCCTCAATTTGTAATAATGCCCTACCAAAAAATTCACACAGAACAAAAAACCCACAAAACTGAGGGAAGAAAAGAACAGAAAGATCTTGTCTTTGTTGTCAAAACAGTGCTTTTCATACTCTTTAAGGCAGCAGTTCCTTTAACAATTGTAACTGTTTCTATTTTCTTACTTCTTTTTCATTTTCGTAAAACTTTGTGAATGAGATTTAAGCCAAGAAAACAAAAAAGTCGATGTGCACGAAATTCTTTCATCACTGGACTAACCTCTGCGCCAAGTAATGCATACGTAGCAAGATAATGATAAAGAAATGCTTGTAACTTGGGGGACAAGGTAGTCACAAGCACACACTCTTATACCTAGATTTGCTGCAGAGAGGAAGGCAATAAGGTCTCCCAGGAGCAGGAAGAAAGGCTGGCAAAAGAAATAAGAACGGAAATGACAGGAAAGCGTATCAGTGGTTGCCTCCTGTATGATGTGTATTGACCTAGTAAATGGAGATGTCTGCAAAGGAGCTGCTCTGCTAGAAATATGCTTGTGCTAATATTATTAGAGCTTTCAGGCAGTTTGGTTTCGTACATATGGCTTCCCAGGGAGATGCCAGAGAGGTGGCCCCTCCCCACAGCTTGTCTGAGCAGCACGTGCCTACCTGCGCTGTAATTGCCTTAATAAGATGTAGGCTGGGGTTTTCCCTGGATGGATTGCGAAATGTATGCCGCTGCCTCAATAGGTGCTTGGCGAAATTTTTAAGTCCTCCCAACTGTTGAAATCTTCATGAGCAAGACATTTGAATGCTGTGGAAGATGAGAGATAGCTCAGTGCTGTGAAAAGTCTGTTCCTTGTCCTCTTTGCCCTCCTGTGTATGTTTAAGAAAATAAAAATACTGCTAGAGTTGTTAATAACCAGTAGGGGCTCAACAGCGCCGGTCTATGCTTGAGTATACCAGTCTTACTGCTTAAAGGAAATAAAAATGGAGAGGGAAGAAGAGAAGATAGGAAGCATCTGGCTGATAAATAAACTAAACTAATGCAAATACTGTTGGTAGGAAAGCCACTTAAAAGCAAATGACTATCCCTTGCCAATCTCTAAGATCTAACCTCACTAAGCTGCTGTTCAGATGATACCCTGAAGCAGTTCCTGATAGGGACCTGGCCCTTGTTCCAGCAGAGAGTGGCCAGATGAAAGGGATGTGGTTTAACAAGGCTTCGACTTTATTATCTCACCATCTTCTAGAGCTCTCTGGCAGTCACTTGCAGAGCACAGGTTCTGATTTCTCCCTAATTGCTCCCACCTGCTGGAAGACCGCGCTGTTGCCCCTACACAGAGGGCCCCAGTCTGCTGCAGAGACCCTCCACTCTCCTCTTCTGAAGCTTGACCCTGGTATGGATTGAAGGGACAGGCAAAGGGGGGTATTTTCTCATAAAACTAGTCACTGCAAGCTGTAGCTTTGTAACCCAAGGAGGGCCAGTATTGCTGCCTTTTCTTATGGAAGAGATGGGGCAGGACTCCAGAGCCCCACAAGTGTGCGCTCTCCTGTTCCCATGGACTTTCTGTCTGTTAGGACAGGCAAAGAGCTGCCTTCTCTGCCCCTCTGCTCCATATCTTCCTGCACTTTGAATCAGGTCATTGCATTTCCTAGGTTCAGGAAGAAAAGTGTGAGAAATACAGGTGTGATGACTGCTGGTGGTGTCTGTAATGCTAGAAGTCTGTGAGAGAATGGAAGGAGTTTCCTTCTTTATAAAAATAAAATCTTTATCTATGCATGTATTAATGGATAATAATGAATATGTCTGCTTATCTGTTTTTTTTTTTCAGGTTACGGTTTTGTAGATTTTGACAGTCCAGCAGCAGCACAGAAAGCAGTAGCATCTCTCAAAGCAAATGGCGTGCAGGCGCAGATGGCAAAGGTAAGAGCAACCATGTTATTACAGGATTATCTGGGCTGTTGGGTTAATTTTCCAAGTTTGTTTTGCTCCTGTTTTTCTTAAGGTGTTAGATTGCTTGTTTCAATGGTTTTTGGATTTTTTTTCATCCTTTGGCTGCAGCACCTTCTTCGTCCTATGGTTTGTTTGTGTTCCTGAGAGCTGTGTCTCATGCAATAGGTTCTACTCCAATGTTCTCTCTCTGCCCCTCTCTCGGGAGAGGCGTGTAAGATGGAGAGCACTGGAGTGGCAGAGTGGTTGGAAAAGCCTCTGTGCTGACTGAAGCGTGAGTTACCTTTTCATCGCCTCAGAGTTGTCTTCATTTGGATCCTTTGCCTTGGAATAGTTCTGCTCTTCTGATATGCCTGGTGGGCTTCTCTGAAACAGTGGTTGACTGATCGTAAGGAAAGTTTGTTTGATCTACCCTGATTTGCCGTCTCCTGTCTTTTTGTTTTGAGGATGTAAATGGAAGTGTAGCAGGTTTCTGAAAGAATAGTTTCTGGAGATTGTCTGGAGGTGACTGGTGTCTGTTGTTCAGAGGGGTGGCAGGAGCTGTGCTGTACATCTGATAGCAAGTGCAGTCAGCTCAGATACTCTGGTCCTGGAATTGTCCTTTGTCCCCAAGCAGAAGAGCTGACACGGAGATGGGGGTTATAATAAATGACCGTCATGTGCTCCGGCTGTTGCCTTTCTGAAGGCATAATCACGTCTCTGGGCTCTAGACTGCATCAGCCAGCAAAAATAGCTGTTGCTTTGTACTTTAAAAAGGCCCTTACTATTGCCTGATTTAGTCTCGGCAGAAGTGATGCCAGGCTCGAATCCCAAACGGTAAAAACAAACAGATAATTACAAAAAAACAGTCAACGTACTTGAAGATTCCTGTTTAAAGAAATGGTGGTGATTTAAACCTTTGTTTTTCAACAACATCATACTAAAACCATTATAATTTTTAACAAAAAGCCTCCCAAAACTTGGTGTTTTTTAAATTTGCCTTGTACTGAATTACAGTCACAGTTCCTTAAAGTAACTAGATGTCATCTGTGTATTTCTGTTGAACAGTGCCCCACAATGCAAGCTATGCTGGTTTATTGGCTCTTAGTTCTTATTGACATGTGGTGATAAAAAATATTTGCTTCGAATGGGTAAAAGATGGCAAGCTGAAGAATGGGAACACCTACTAAGGACTGTGCTGTTTTATTTCTCAGATATACTGCATTTCCTTTTTAAAATACAGGCGTTTTGACACATTAGTCAAGCTGTGAAAAAGAAACCAAAGACAGGAGATATGTTTTGTCTTACTGGTTGATAACAAATAGTCATTTCTGGGGAGGAGTAAATCTCTAACTACATAAATCTGTAATGTTGTAGATTTAAAATCAGAGATTTAAATGTAGGATTGAAAGATAAATCTGAATTTAGTATCCTCATGATTCAGAACAGTAAACTGTTGCAGCACTTGTATGCATCGAAATACCAAAACAGAAGATGACTTAAAATACCATATTTTGGCTTGTCCGGTATTCTGGGGGCTAAAAGCAACATTTGATGCTTTCAGAGTGGGAAGGGCTATACCAGCCACAGAGGTTTGTTTTCTGTGGCAGGAGTAGTTTTTTGCCCTGCGTGATTTTGAGGCAGCTGGTGTGTACACATTTGTTTGCATAAGGCTGACTGTATTTTTATTATTTAGCCATGGTGCCTGGAATCCCACATAGGTTCTTTTTAGTACGCTTGGTAGTTCAAAATAAATATACAACTGACTTTCCTATCTCTGAAAAAAATCAAAAGTATTTAGAAAAATGGGGATTCAAAGGAGTTGAGACAATTTTGCACTGTACCTCACATTGCTGAGAAGGCAGGAGCCTGGGAAAGCAAATCTGTCTGGAGAACCGTGTTAGTTCTTGCACGTGTTGGAAGCCAAGTTGCGTAACGGGACTGAAAGACAGTGTTACCTGCCAGTGTATGAATTAACAGTGAGGGCTTGGAAGGGTTTTGGAGAAAGAGGCAGAAGAAGAGTTTAGCCTCCACTTCTGGAAGCATATCCAAAGCAGTCTAATTAGTGGTGAGTGGCGGCCATCAAATGAAATAAAAAACCAAAAACAGCGTGAAGAAATGACGGAAACCATTTGTGTGCTGTACCTTTAAAAAATGCACTTAAGTGTTCTGTATCTTTTGTTTAGCATTGTAAAGCAGGGAAACTGTAGAGGCTAAGGAGAAAACTGTAACCTGTGTTTACTGAATGTCAAAAAGTTCAGTCGTGAATGTTTTTGAATAAAGGAGAAAGAGGCATCGGCCAGCTTTGGTATGTGCTAGGCTTCTCTAGTAGTGAGAGAAATTGTGCTGAAGTGTCAGTATAGTCTCTGATGTTTTCCTGGAGAGTAATTTTGCTCGGAAAGAGTTGCTCTTTCTCAGTTTTGACACAATATACTTTTTCTTATAGAAATCCAGGAATCTTCTCTGAAAAACAAAAAGCAGAACTGAATCCCTCACCCATGCTGGCTAGCAGAAGTGTCTGGTGGATATTTGAGTAAAATATACTCATTTTATTGATGCTTAAATGTAGCCACCTCCCTCATTTTTATAGCATTTGGACACCTTTTTGGCTGATTTTATTTCAAAGTGCTGCCTCTGGAAAAAGGTTGAGTTCTGGTGGCGTGATGCTCCAAGTCCCATCACTGTTGGAAAGCTTGTTCTGTTGAGGCTAATACACTCCATAATCCTGTGCAAGGAAAAACATCATTAAACATGTTTGAATCTCTCTATTTGTTCTCTTGGATGCTGTTCAGCCTAGTGTAAAGTATTCAGGAGAGGATTTGGCTGAGGGAGAGGAGCAGCAGTATTATGCCTGCAAAGGTAGTGGTGGCAGCTGGAAGGTGAGATCTCATGGGTCCATGGCCTCCCGCCCATGTGAGGTCTGCATGAGGCTCTTGTACATGCATGTGCATTGTCACCTTGCCTCTTTAGCATTTCCCTCGCTCAGGCACGCAAAATGGAAGTTTTTACTGCTGCCACTGTCCTGTGATGAGTGAAGTTTGTCCAGTTGTTAACAGTTTCATTTATTGAGAAGAATTAATGCTATGGAGATGCCGAGTGATAGTTTCTCAGCTGGGCTGGCTTATTTTACTATGTGCTTCCCACTTGCCTTTGGAAATAACTCAGATGTGCAGATTTGTTTGTATGTGTATAGTGCCTGCTTGTCCAGGCTCATAGAGTCCAGGTGATTTCTTGATTTTTGTTACCACTAAAACTAGCACAACTGGTATGCCACTGGATAACCTCACAGGAATTATTGATTTGATTGTCACTTTGTGCTAGGGTCTACACAAACATGACGCAGAAAACACAGTGCTTATGTGCATGGTTTGTATGTCGGTTTGAGTTTTTCCATCTACTCCTTTGCTGCATTTTCTGGAAAAATGTTATAGACAGAACATGGAAAATTAATAAAGAGAATCTTGGTAGTATGGGAGTTGACTCAGACAAGTGGGCAAGGAAGCTAGTACACATGAAAAGCGTATCGATGCTCTAATAAAATCTGTAGCCACATCTATTCTTTTTGCAATATTCCATCACCCAAAAAGGCATATTCACGAGGAAACTTCTTAATCTGATTTATATGTAAACTTTTAATGATGAGGAGTCTAAATCACCTGAAGAATCAATAGAAGTCTGTTTTCTAAATAAATTTGAGTGTCTGAACTTGTGTCAGCCTGAAGTTGGTGGACTGTGCAATCAGTTTATACTTTCACAGATGTTTCGGGGTCCTCCCTATCGTCTTTCATTTCCACTTCTAGAGTGCTGTAAGATTGTGTAAAGTAGAAGTTCAGGCAAAGGTGGATTCTTACAGAGAGTACATAAGAGCTTCATTAATATCTAACAGCCCATCAAGAGTGCTGACATTCACAGAGAAGGTGTTCTCAATCCTGCTGCTATTCCAAGTGCATTTATAAGGATTAAAAAAATGTATTTGATGATGCACATCTTTTCTGCATTTTCCTTTTGTTTGTATAGTGCATTTAGACATCCTCAGCACCTGTGTGAGAAACAAGGGCATTGAAGGAATGTTTAGTTAGCGTTGGCAGTTGACTAAGTCCAAGGAACTTTTCCCAACTACTCTGCTGCGGTAATTGCCATCCAGAGGGTACATTGAAGGAGCTGGTTCTGAAAAGGACTGTGCGTCTGATAGGCTCTGATATGTTTTTCTCAACAGGGAAATTACAGAGTGTGATTTTGCTTCTTGCATGATGTGTTTCTCATCTCTCCATCATGCAGAATCTTAAATACAAGAAGTAATCACCATCTAGGTGAAACATAAAAGAGAGCTGTTTGCCACAGAACAGAGCCAAGCAGATGAGCTTCTGGAGAAGACAGAGGGAGACAGGTTTTCTCTAAGGACCAAAGAAAAGAAAATCCCATGAAAGAATCTTATTTATTTTCCAGACTTTTGCATAGGTTTCAGGAATTGCTGTGATATGAGTCAGCTGGCCAAATAAATCCATTCTGCCTGCTCATTTTTCAGCTTCATTTTTCCCTTTTTTTGTAAATTACTTCCCTTTTTTCTCTGTCATATACCCATACTCGAAAGGGCTGTTCCTTAAAATGGAAAATACAGAAAATGGAAAGACTCTTCTTCCTAATATTATTTTAAATCTAGATTTTTTTAAATGGAAAAATTTTAATTCTCTGTATGCAATTTTAAAAGTCCATGAAAATTTTTAATAAAAATATAATCTTGACAAAATATGAATTAAGGACTGAACACCTGGTACATTGAACCCTCAAGTGTTGGGTTTTTTTGTTTGTGATTGAAATGCCTGCCAATTTAAGCCAGCCAAACTTCAGGATACTGATTGCTTGCATTTCTGGACAATATTTGTGGATAATAGCCGTGCTGACTGAGTTAACTTTCCTTTTGATACCAAAGCAGGATGCTAGGATTTTTATAGTTTGGTATTGAAGTTGTCTGGCTTCATTTTATTCTCATTCTT